TAACCACAAACAGCCGTAATATCACTATCACTCTCCACCAGACTCCAGAGACAAAGTCTTCATTCAAAGTGGACAGAAACAGAATCAAACTCATTAAAAGCGTCTCTGTTAGTGTTTCCAACAATCACCAACTCTGGTTTGGTGGAAATAAATCCTTAATTCACCGACGTAGATGATAAAAACAGCAGTTTCAGTCGGAGCAGACCGGCTATGGAAACAAACCACAGAGAGGCTGCGATACAACACAGGTAGAGGGAGAGAGACACAGAGCACCACAAGAAATCATTCCTGCCTGTGGTCATCAAACTATACAACGCCTCCCTCAGAGAGTCAGACACCCCCTCTCTGTAATCTGACTCAAACACGGTCAATCATTTTTGCACTTTTTGCATATTATTAAACTGTTTTATCTTTTATATATATATATATATATATATATATATATTTCTATATATATTTATTTATATGTTTCTTAATATATGTTGTATGTATATCTGGAGTTTGTAACGAAAGTAATTTCCCCCTGGGATTATAAAAGTATTTCTGATTCTGTTTCTGAGACACCATGAGACTCTCTGTCTTTATACAGAAAATAGCTGTTATATTAATGTTTTAAATAGTTTATCTTTATACACTCCTGCAACTTTATGTTTTACGTTACACGTTCTTTAGTATGTTTTAATTTTCTTGTATGTGCAAAAGAAAATAATAAATGAATGAAAGATAAATGAGTACAACAGTGCTTCACATTACCAAAAGCTAAATGATAACAGGACAATCCATTAGGAGGCTGGTGACAGGTGAGACAGCTGTGCAATGTGCTGTAAGTAACTGGCGCCACTTCAAAATGAGGCTGGATCGAGACAGGATGTGCTATTTGGCAAATGTGTGCTGTGTCAATTCCTCTGTCCTAAATCATATCCCTGCATCTCTTCCTGGCACTGTAAAAGGAGGAGCTCAGGAGCGAGGACAGCACTGTGATGAGAGGCAGCGAGGATTGATACATAAGGAACTGGAAAGAGCCCACGCAGAGCTTCACTTCATCTTCTTAAAGGAGAGCTCTGTTGTATTGTGGGAGAAATGCCAATGAACGCTGCGGAGCTGCACCTCTGGAACGGCCAAACTCAGACAAAACCACAGCAATGAACACCCATTCTGCACATGGACATATATACACTGGCTTATTACAGTCTGTTTTATTGTCTATAGTGTATATGTTTTATATTTTAGGATATAGTAATTTATTCTTTTCTTTTCTTTTTTTTCATCGTCAATCATTTTTTGGATTAATTGATTGAATTTGATGCATGAAATGTCAGAAAATGGTGCTAAATGTTTTCTAAGCCCAAGCTGACGGCCTTAAAGCAGCAGTACGTAGCTTTTATATAAATAACTTTTCAGAATATTTGCAGAAACTCCTCACGGCATCTGCAAGTATCTAGCACATCAAAACCAAACGAAAGCAACCAATCAGAGCCGAAATACCAACACTTCTGTGTCGGTGGCTTCGAGATAGACGTTTGTCTCCCATACTGTTGGTATTTGATGACGTGGGAATGAGGCTCAACAATAATTGGCTGTTTTCGTTCAAATGACGGTGGATTCTTGCAAATGTGGTCAGGATGAACCAGAGGAACCTTTTGGGGGTCTGTACCAAACAAACATGTTCCTTAATCTTGAGAACAAGATCTGTAGATCAAGCCATCTTTGCAGCACTACAGTACTTCATTATGATGCTGTTTGTCACACATTTTACATTCATCAAAACATAGCAGCTCTTTGCGATTTGCACATTGCACTTGGCCATACTGCGCTAACATTTGGGCTAATTGTTCGGCTCTACAGTCGACTATCTTTCTCCAGACTGACCCCGTCTTTAATCGACCAATCATTGCAGCTCTACTGTACCAAAAGGACCTCTCAGTAAATATTTCGATTGAATCTGCAGTGTGAGGTGCAAATAGAAACCACAGTGATTGGAATCAGTGATGTTCTGCTCACACTCATTAGACAACGTGAGGACAGCTAACTCCAGTAGCTGGAGGGTGTGCAGCTGTGAGTGTCAAACATTTTCAGGCCCTTCGATGCATTTTGTAAACACGTTCGTTCTGCGATACATCTGCAGTTTCTGACTTCAGACGGAAGCAGACTGATGAGATGATTAAAGGGGTCAACGGAAAATTGAGATAAAACAAATGAGAGATAAGGAGCTGAAATCATAGTGAGGGAGAGCTGCAGACACAGATTCAGTTTGCTCTCCTCATTTGATGCTCCATTTAGCAGAAACACAACATAAACCCATCCCCAGCGCAGCGCTGCTTACAGACACACAGTCGTAGTCATATAAGAACAGGGAAAAAAAAGTGCACGCTCAAAATAGACAGTTTTTTTCTCAGCAGCTGTGATATGATTTGTAATCTGCGAGGGTACAACAGTGACTGAAATCCCTACAATCGCATTCAGCACATGACATTTCCTCCAATACTTGAGCAACGCGTAATGATTGTGAGGCATTTCAGTGAGACGCCACGCTCACATTAACAAAACACACACACTGAAGATGATCTCCAGTCATTTAGATGAAAACAAGACTTCACTATGGAGGCATTTGGAAGATAACCCCGAGAGATCAAATACTGCAACTGCTTCCACAACACTGTCACTTTCATCTGTGCAGCCTTCACACAGAAGTGTCAAACAAAAAAATCTCAAAATGAGAGAGAATGAACATAAAAATGACCTCAAAAGCCAAACCAACAATAAAACTACACTGTTAAAAAAAAAGGTTTCTACAGTTGTTTTTACTGGCAGATGTGGTTGCCAGTACTTTACCATAATAAATACAGTAGAACATTTTCTACTACTTCAGTAAAAGGATATCAGTACTGTTGATTATACGGTTAAAGTTGGAGTTCTATTCCATATAACAAAGAAAAATCATGTATAATCCTATTCCATTGCAAATTCATTCATCTGGGGATGCATGAGAGTTATAGTACAGTGTCGTCCCACAACAGACACACTGATTATCGGCCTCAAGAGCACAGACATCAGCCAATACCGATTACCAAGAAAAAGACTTTTACTGGAAAATCTTACTTTTACACAAGTTGTTTTAAAGCCGAGTGGAAACGGTATTAATTACAACCTCACAATCAATACCCTCATGTGGAGATCAAACTGACAGTGCCCCTGTTCATGTAGCAGTAGTAGTAGTATGGACACATCCTGCTGCTGAAACAAAGTCTAATAAACTGAACAAGCAAATTAAAAGATGAAAAATGAAACCACTTCATTTTATTTAAATGACACTGTTCCTCTTTAATTCAAACACAAATCCAATTGATCAGAAGCATTAGAACAAAAGAGATCTCACGCACACAAACGACAATGTCTTTCTAACAGACACAGCAGCCTGGCATCGGCAAGATAAACACACAGTTCTTCTCATCATCCGCCATTCTACTGCACAGTGTGAGACTGATAGGATGTCTGCTATTGAGAGCAGAGGTGCTGCCTTTGACTCTAACCTTCCTGAATGGGAGAACAAATAAGCCAGTCAAATATAAACTGTAATATCCAATCCCTTCACATCTGTCACATCTTTAAGTGTATGTATAATACAGTGAACCGCACAGGCGAGGACTCGCACTGGAGCTATGGCAAACAGCGATACTACTCCCAAACAAAAAGACCCAAAACGTGCAAGTTAGTCTTTTAGCAACCGTCAGTGGAGCTCTCAGTGAACAGCGAGAGCCAAAAACCCGGCGCTGTGGTGAACCTCACTGCCAACTCCCGCTCTGCACTTTCATACACAGTTAACATCCTCTTTATTGGTCTGCTGAATCTGAAACATACCACATTAAGGACAACCTTGCACTGAGCTAACACACTCTGTATAAAGCTGATTTGTGGAGTCAGTTGTTAAGCCGGTACACGCAGACCAGCCTCGGTGAACACAAGCCTCCAGACTCCCTCTGGACAACGTTCACCCCATGACAATGTCGACAAAATGTTTTCTTCCATCCACGAGTCGCCGTCCTTATCAGAAGTGGCAGGAGTCAGCTGTTGCTTTAATTGCATGCAAACTGACAATTTCCCAGTAAAGAGCTGCTGGACCCGTTTAAAATAAAGGGAGGTCTTGTTCAAAAGCTCTTGAACTCGCAAGTTTCTTCAGCAAGCACACAAGAGCGAGCAAAATCTTCACACATACATCACACACTTTGCTTATTGGTGCACACATTTGTGTAGACACATAACAAGTTACAGCAACTGTATATTTTATGCCAGTGGTTCCCAACCTTTCTTCTTATTGGACCCCTTTTCTACTGACAACCCCTCATTGAAATACATATTTTATAGATATTTCATATTATATTCAGCGCATAGCAAGAAAAGTACAGAGCAACAAAGTGTGAACACAATAACTGCAGGAAGTTTGTGTAAACTTAGCCATTTGGATGAATTTCAAGCAGATTATTTCCTGTGAATATTGATCAGAGATTTTTAGGAACTTTTTACACAACTCTCTGTCCGTGTTATGTATATTTCTATATATATTTTTAACAACCATAAACACTTAATAGGCAATAACAAACTGAGCATTTTCTTCTCCCTGACTCTTGTTCTATTAGCTCTTTGGTTGTTATAACAGTGTGTGTCTTTAATGCTTATATTGTTATAGTTTTCCAACATACCTTTAAACCAAGAAGGCCTCGCTACCTCCTGTGAAGCTTTAACAACACCCTGATTGGGAACCACTGTTTTATGCTCCACCTGACACCAATATCCTGAATGACTCCAACATCAGAATAAGCTCAGTACACCAACAATAATGCAAAGGTAGAATCCAACAACAAAGACCGAAACCAGAAAGCACAGTGGGCATTATTTACCGGTGTTAATAAGCAGCACAAGCCTTATTGCTGGAGTTTTCTTTAAACCTCGGGATTCAACGTTTGCCGAACCAAAAACTGATTTGGAAAGGGAGCAGCTCTTACCTCGATGAGGAAGTCTCCCGTCCTGAGCCCCGCCTGCCATGCCACTCCTCCCTCATCCACCGACTCCAGGTACTGCAGGGCGGGGAAGGCGGGTGTGGGAGTAAACTCCTCGATGGGCGTATCCGCTGCACAGCGAGGAAGCACCGAGGGGGAGAGGATGACAGAGACAGTAAAGACACAATAATGCACACAACACAAGATTTTACAATGAAACGACGACTCAGTTTTATAGGAAAACATTTATATAACTAATAATAACTTAATGACTGCATTCTTTTTACATCTAAATACTCCTACAATAATAAGTCAATATGTCTGCTGTAGGGATGAGTATTGTGAGGATTTTAGTGACACCAACACACTTATTGATACAGCTCGCCATGATTTGGGTCAAAACATAAAGACATGACACGAAAAGATGTGAAAAGATTTAACAGGTTGCAGAAAGAAGTTCAGTTTTCCTGAGTTACTGAATTTAGCTGCACTTTCAATACATTTAGTAAAGCGTCCTGTTTATGTAACGTTAGATATAAAAGAGCTCATCAATATTTCGGTGTTCTCAATACCGATCCAAAGTCTTACTTAGTGTCAGTTTCTTCTCTATATGTCAATTACCAAGACATGGTTGGCACAAAGACTTGACAGTGGGTTAGGGTTAGGGTTGACACTGAACAGTAAAAATACACCTTCCAACAACTCCCAACAGTCACATTCACCTGTCGTATCTCACATAGTTAACATACTGGTATAGACAGAAATGGTTTTGTGTGTGGGATTTAGTGGCACCCTCCTGTTCCAAGCATGTAGGAGAAAGCAGTGCCAGGGTTTGGTTTGTCCGTTCTTGGCTACTGTAGAAACATGGCGGACTCTGTAGATAACTCATTCTCTAATTCTGAGGGGTGAAACTGTTCCCGGTTGTGAGTCGGAGTCGGAGATATCAGGAGTCTGAGACAGCTGCAATATCTTTGGGAAGTACCACTGGCAGTACAGCTCTGAATGAACCCTAATATATTCTGTTCAGCTAATTAAAAATGAATTACACACTGTTTGTTTCTATGTCACTTCCACTTGTTAATGAACCGCTACAAATATGCAACACAAAAGCCAATTTTGCCTGTTTATATGGTGTGACTCTCTCTTAATACATCCACACAAGGTAAGATGGACACAACCAACCCGGAATAATAATGAATGGCTGAACGCTCGGAATCACAGACTGGATTTATTTCCTGACCTACACCAGCTGGACCCGACCTTGGCGTGGGTTAGCCAGGTGTGCTAACGGTCACAGCTGAACACGAGGTGACTTTCAATAGCATCAGCGTCTGACTGGCGAGATAACGAGATACAATATGACAGCTCCGGAGGCGCTGAAGGCTGCTTTTGTCGTTGTGTGACTTTTGATGGAGGCTAACTGTTTCCTGCTGCTCCCAGGCTTTGTGCTAAGCTAGGCTTAACTCACTGGCATACAGCAGAAACCTTATCTTTGTCAAAGTGTTCCTTTAAACAATAAAGCATTATGTATTTAGAGGAAGACTGTGGTGTCAGAAGGGAACTGCTGTCTCCTGCACTTTGCATGATTTTTCACGAGACATTTAAGAGTCTCTGTGCACATTTAAGGATCCATTTGTGCCCATTTAGGATATCTGATAAAGGACTACGCTTGAAAGGAGAGCATTAGGGAGAAGACAGCTTATTTATTAGGTATCATTTGACAATTTTTAGTACCTTGGTTTGGGTAAAGATACTAAAATGAAACATGAACTCTTTCCTTTTTAGCCAAATAAGCCAAACGTCTTATCTGTGTTTAATTTTGTCTTATAGAGTCTAAAATTAGCGAAATGATGATTTATCTGATGAAAGAACGACAGCTCTCTGTACATGACAGTCTTCAATTTCAGGTGATACTTGAAGTGCTGAGGTTGGATTATTGTTTGAAAAGATGAGAGGTGATGGAAGGCACAAACCCTCCAAACCACCACGCACATTAAAACATTGTGGTTATTGGGGATCTTTGGTAAGGTTGCCTTTCATTTCTGAAGTTTTACCCACCCAGCCTCCACTCTAGTATCACTCCATCCTCCCTACACATGGCCCCAGCCCGCCCTCTCCCTCTCTCGCTCTCGGGGAGGTTAAAAAATATTGCGGCTGGGAGAAACCAGTGGTGACAAGTGACACTTCCTATAACTCATCCTCCTACTGGAAGACACGTCCGCGAGCGCGAACGAGGGTTTCATGAGGGTATTTACATGATTGTGATGACTATGTTTCTTTAGGTGCCTGTGTGTGTGCCTTGTGTGTGTGTGTGTGTGTGTGTGTGTGTGTGTGTGTGTGTGTGTGACATAGAGATGGAGAAGGAGAAAGGGAAGAGAGAGAGAGAGGGAGATGGACGGAGAGCAAAAACGCAGAGAGCAAAAAGAGGATGTGAGCTTATGTGACAGCTCGAGCATCAGTGCACGTCTGCGTGCTCGTGTGTGTGTGTGTGTGTTCACCCCCGTGCAGGATAAGCTCGGCTGGGTCAGTTCCCCCGGGGTGATAGCAGAGTGTGTCAGAATGACTAGAACATTCCTCTTGTTTTTCAAGCTAAATCCCTCTTTTCCTCTCCCTCCATGTCAGTCCCTCTCTCTGCCTCCCCCACCACCACCACCGCCACCGTCTTGTTCTTCCTCTCCCTCCGTATGTGTCTTAAAAAACGGGAACATGACTATACTAAATTTACCTCTCGACAGTAACCATGGCGTAGACCAATCGAACGGCCCCACACAGTTGTGGAATGCAACGTGGATTATGACATGGCGAGAATCGTCATAGAAACCGACGCATCAGCTCAAACCAGCTATTTTTAGAGCCAATCTCAGGGCCTGGTGAAATATCAGACTGCCTGGTATCGGCTCGTATCACAACAACTCATGATTGTGGTGGGAAATGATGGCTGGCGCTTGTGGGGCCCAAAGAACACAAAGCAAAAGCAGATTTATTTACAAAAGAACCTCGATTATGTCATATTACAGATGTTTACATCAGCCCTGAAAGAGTGGGGGGGCTTTTACAAACACATGAATTTAAAAATGTGGGTAAGTTTTGGGTGCCATCAGCTGCATCCCACATGCCATCATATCTGACACTGCTGCTGTGTGTCGCTGTGTGTGCACAGGGCTGCACTGGAGCTCACAATAAAGTTGCTTTCAAATGTATTTTTAATGGCAGAACTTATTTGCATGTTTTTATTTGAGGGGAGGGAGGGAAGGGGAGGGCTACAGCATCACTTCATGCATTCTCTCACACAAAAGCTCTCAAATGACCCAAACTGCACAAATCACACATAATTGCCCCCTAAATGTTGCAGGCAGCCCGGGTAAACATGGATCTTCAGGTGCAGTTTGTGCCTTAAATGTGTTCATTTTGGATGAATGGCAGAAAGAGACAAGTAGTACACTAAAAAGCATTAAAAGTCAGTAAATGTTCCTACCTTTTGCCCCTCGCAGGACGAAGCCAAATCCCTCATTCTCCTTTTTCTGGAGCACCACCGTCTTCTCGTCCACCACGCAGTCACTGTGGAGGAGATGCCGAGCAGAGCGCCCGTTAGCACAGCCCATCATCCGCAGCATGGCCACGGACGCCCTGCCCGAGTGGAGGTTCATGCTGCTGGAGGAGAGCTAGTCCGGCCAGGGCAGGGCAGGGCAACCCCGACCCCACCCCACCACCACCACCGCCGCCGCCGCCGCCTCCCCCTCCTCCTCCTCTCGCCGGCCTCTATCTCTCTCAAACGGTATGACAGCGGCCCCGGCAGCCCGGCGAAAGCATCTCCAGAAGAGAGACGACCCCAAAAAAAAGAAAAAGAAAGAAAAAAACGAAGAAAGAGACGCGCCTCCCTCCCCTCCCTGCTACTCCCCTGCCGCCGCCGCAGCTGCTGCCTGTGCCGCCTCTCCTGCGCGGAGACGCGGGGTCGGCAGCGCGGTTACCCCCGCCGCTGCTGCCGCTGCTGCTGCGGAGGCTCCGGGCGGCGGTGTGGGAGTGCTGCGCCGTCGAGGAGAAGCGACATCAGGCTGGTGGTGATAGCGGCTAATGGCTCATGGTGAGGCGGGGAGGAAAGGCTGAAAGCTTGCCGGGTTTTGTTTTAGGGGGGGTGTTGGGGGGGGTGGTGGGAGAGATTGGGAGAGAGAGAGAGAGAGAGAGAGAGAGAGAGAACAGCAGAGTCTCGGTGTGGATGGATGTCTAGGTGTGCGTTACTCTGCAATGTGCAACCGACTGGTAGGGAGGGGTGTGTGTGTGTGTGTGTGTGGAAAGAGAGAGAGAAGGGGGGGTCTGATGGCTGCCTAATTTATTGACTGATCAGTTAATTGATTGATAATCCTGTGGGATTATTGGAGAGCTGACATTCCTGTTTCCTTCTTCTTTATGATCGATATCATTTATTACTTTTGTCCAAAGAAAAAACTTTATTTAAACTTTCACCTGAAAACTAAAAACTGTCACCTGTATCACCAAACTTATAGAAACTGTGTTAGTGTTGGGGGTAACAATATTATTTTACGTAGGCTGTTACTGATGGAAGCCAATGTGAAAAATAATTATTATGAGAAAGTTTCTCAAAATAATATATATTATAGTATATATAGTATCTGAGAAACTTTATTTTGAGATATTAAGTCAAAATATTAATAAAGTTTCTCATTATAAACACCTCATTTTATCACTTTGGCCAAAATGGCTTTCCATAATTACTCCCTGCCAAATTAGTTACACTACTAGTTATATTACTTTTCTGCTACTCCCCAAGCAGTTGGTCCAAGGACGTGATTGGATTGTTGGGGTGACACAAAAGTAAGGTTGTAACTAGTTATTTTAGGGGGTTTGACATTATTACTGAAATTACCAACAGTTATAATAATATATCTGGAAACAATAGAATGTAAAAGAAACTTAAACCTATTATTATAACTTTAAATATGCAGTAAGATTAGATTAGATCTGTTTGGCCAGTTTACCCTGGAGGGGAAAACATTTAGGTCATCAAGTTACCATAAATCAGCTGACAGACAGTGAATATGGGGAAGAGCTGCGACAGTTAGTCGATTAATTGATGAGTTGTCAACTATTAAATGAATCGCTTCTTTTGTGACCTCCGTCAACTGTCTTTAGAGACGCTATATGCTAAGCTAGGCTGTGTTGAAAAGTCAGCCAAGTGATATAGTCATATCTTAAGTTGTTAATGTTCATCATCATCAGTCACTACTATTAGTGTAGTTGTTGCTACTGTTGCTGCTGTGAACCTGTCTGTCTGTCTGTCTGTCTCTCTCTCTCTCTCTCTCTCTCTCTCTCTCTCTCTCTCTCTCTCTCTCTCTCTCTCTCTCTCTCTCTCTCTCACCCCAACTGGTCGAGACAGACGACCACCCACCTAGAGCCGAAGGATCTGTCCTAGGTTTCTGCCTTTTAACAGGCAGTTTTTCCTTGCCCTTGTCGCCAAGTGTCTTGCTCATGGTGGTACTGTTGGGTCTCTGTAATTAATGTTAAAGAGTTCGGTCTAGACCTGCTCTATTTGAAAAGTGTCCTGAGATAACTTCTGTTATGAATTGGCGCTATACAAATAAAATTGAATTGAATTGAATTAAGTTATCTAAAGTTAGCAAAACTCTAGCCTACATCAGTCAAGGTAATTAGCAAGGGTTTTGCTAACATTAGCCATTAGATATAACTAACTAGCTAACAATGAATGTAGACAATTTCTGGACCAAACTACGAATCAATTAATCGAGAAAACGACGGGGGGGTCCGGGTCATCTGGACGCTGGTTGGGATAATCCAACCGTTTCCAGCAGAAGAGGCAGCTCTGCAGTCAGCCTCCGACTGCAGCTTTAAATGCATATGAGATAATTATGTCTCATATAACAGTAACAGCTGCGGCTGTTAACCCTAACCTACACTGCTGCAGTCGTGTGTCATGAGGAATCCTCCGTATGGCGATGAAGCTTTCCACTACAAGAGAGGGATTACTCACAAATAAAAGACACCTCCTGAAGTTTGACTCAGCAGTAAACTGTCTGATGTGACATCTTCCCCTTAGCTCACCATACGTCAGTTGTTTGTTTGTTTTTTACCCCCACTGGCCTTCGTTTCCTGCATATAATGGTACGTCCCGTCTCTCATCTCCTGCAGTAATACTGGCCGGGCCTGGTGTGGTGAGACTGATCCCAGTACCAGCTGGGGAGAGGTGCAAGTTAAAGGCCAAGGTTCCTCTCCTCCAGCCTGAGGTGTTTGCTGTAAGGGTGCATCATTCAGCTTATATTAGGCGCAAGGATTACACTGAATAGACACGTGGGATGAGAGAGAGAAAAAGACAGAGAGAGGGGGAGAATAAAGAAGGAGAGAGAGGTGCGACTGCCTTCCTAGCAACAGTTCCCTTAGCAACGCAATCTGTCTAGAGAGGAAGAAGGCCCGCACTGCTGACACACTGAAGGTTATCTCCCAGCATTCCCCTACACGCACACACACACACACACACACACCCTCTGGCCCGTAGTGGGCGTCCACAGGTAATCACACCTAGATCACCCAAATCTGACACAGTGGCAGCTTCAATAGGTCAGCGCCGCCGCCACCGCCGCCTGCAGCAAAGGGCCTGACACTTTATCGAAGGTGTCATCTTGTTCAACAAGTGATGAGAAGGGGGGGGGGCACGACAGTCTGAGGTTGCTTTATCAAAACAAAGTGGAGCATGCAGGATGTGGGACATGCTGTTCGACAGGCTGTACGGGATGAAGTGCAAGCTTACCCCAGGGAGCACGCTGCCTCAATCTGGGCTCCGCCGTGGGAGGCCGCGGTGTATTTATAGTCTAGCAGGAGAGGTTCTGTATGCAATGCAACGGCCGTTTGTTTGTCAGACATTCATCTCCCGCTGTCCATGTGAAACTTTTATATTGGAGTTTGGCTCAAGGGTGGTTAGACAGTCATCAGGCTCTTACGCCGCATGACTGATGGCTGGTGGAGAAATTGATACAGGGGAGTCTATCGCTCATTGTGTGGACTTCTAACCTCTGAATGCTGCAGAGCACTCTTAAGTCACCGGCTCATTTGTCTGCATGCATTTTCATTTGTGTCGTCGTCGACTCTACGGCGACGACTCCTCGGGCACCAGCATCATCAGCATTTTATCTCAGACAGCAGGGAGCTGATGCATCATGTACCAAAATCCACATCTGGGCTTTCCTCCCTCCCTCCCCCCCTCCCCTACAGCCTCAGTCAGCAAGGAGGGATTGTCTGTCCACAAGTCAGATTTGACGAGTAATGGAAACGCTCCTGCACTCTCTCAAAACTTTTAATTGTCAAGTCAAGCTTTTTAGTCTCACACCAGCGTCAGGACATGCAGCGCCGAAGACTCAGCAACAAACACATTGGAAACAGTTTACAGAAACATATTGCTGCCATGATGAAAATAAACCTGATAGATTTCTTTTTACAACTTGTTGTGTTTTAAACAAGATAACTTTCTAACACTCATTAAATCTGACAACATCTCTCTAACAACTGAGCACTGTGGGAAGTCCTTCACATCTTTCCTCAGCCTCGTATCATTTTCCATCTAGGTCAAGGATATAGGATGTCATTTATATCTCTGTTTCACCGCAGCTTGATGTGTGAGGATTGCTGCCATTGAGTCTTATGAAGTTGGAAGAAGTTCGTATATCATGAACCAAACCTAGCTAGCTAGCTGAATGGGCTGTCTAATCTATTCAAATTTAAGAATTTGAACATGATTCATTTTCTGAGAGTAATAACCTGTTGGAATTCAAAATGGAGTCTATAAGTAACAACAGACTGTAGTGAGCTAATGTTGACCTGCTCCACTATCAGCTCGACCCATGGCACTGACCTGTCTAAGCTAGCAATCTTATATTGTTTACAATGAAAATGGAAGACATGAGCGGGAAAGCGTGGAGCGAAGCCGACCTGAGCGTGCAGCTCACTCTACAACTACAACAATGCTCACTCGCTAATGTTCGCCTGCTATCCAAGTGAGGAAGACAAGCTGAGCAAAGTGAAATGTGCGACCTCAGTGCAACAGCCCCACAAAATGTCTGCACACATCCCTGGTGGATCTGCTGTTTCATCATAAATGCATCGCAACTTTCTGCACCCCGGTGCCCTTTTATTGCCCCTCAAACAGCCCGAGTCCGTCCACTGTATATTTGAATTCTGCTATTTGTCTACTGAGACTGTCAACAGTGTTTTGGTGCAACTCACAGTTCAGTTTATCTTTCCTTTTAATTTGTGAGTGGAGATCAAACTGCTGTTTGGCGCCTTTCTTCCTGCCCATAAACACACAGACCAGGAGAGTTCCTGCCTCATGCAAATTTAACGGCACGCTCTGCAAGTTAAAAAACAATTATGAATGTTTAAAGAGCAAAGGAAGGACCTGATGTGAGTGCCTTGGAAAAATCAGCATTTCCAAAAGAAACGCACACCGTTACATTTTGATATCTGATGTGGAGAAATATGTGAGTTATGATAAAGTTGCCTCCTTTAGGGAGCACAAAACTGAAATCGTCATAGCTCAGTCTATATCCAGGTTCAGGTTTCATTTCCAGATTTCCCCTGGATCTTTGAAGTCACATGGGTCTTTACTCTATGCCGCGATTCATATTTGGCCAACCAGCCTTCGTCACTGCACTGGGTGAGACACAGAGGTTCACCTTGACCCATATTGGACACTTCCTGGAAAAACACCTTCCAGCATGTTCACCGAGTCCTGCCAGAGGAAATCCAGCAGAGTAACGGCGCTAATGTCACGCTGTCCTTCATGGCCTTATCACCGCATTTTATATTACTACCCAGGCCTGACATTTGGTCAGTGTACAGAGAGCAGTGTAGTACTTTCAAACTGGCAAAAAGGCCATTGTGTCCGTTAGTTACTGTAAGTGTTTCCCACCCAGTTTGGTAGAATTAGATATCTGAGCTTTTTTACTATTCTTGATGCAAAAGAAATGATTTAATCACGAGTTCCATGTTGTTTTGGACTTGGACGGCAGAGGCATTACCATCTCATGGAAGAGCTTTCCATTAGTTGATGAAAGACTGTCAACATGCAAGGTTTGAATCATGAAAAAGGACTGGCAATGACATTTACAAGGACTCAAGGGCAGGACAAGGATATACCCTTCCAGTTGAGAAAACACTATAAAGACACTGACTGTTTCACCATAAAAGCATCACAACTTTCTGCAGGGTGGTGCTCTTTTTTACTGACAAGCGTAGGTCATTAAATTAGCAAAATATAATTACAGGAATCGACCAAAGAAACCCAACCAGCGATCGATCTCTGATGCCCGACCTCCCTATCGCTTCTCTCCTCCTACACTCCTACTCCTCCTGACTCTGAATACCACCTTAGGACGTCCACTGTTTGGCTCCATGATCTGTGTGTCTTCAAATTCCACTAAGGGCATTTTAGAAGCAGAGCGTCTTCAGAGTGTCTTGCCTGCCCAACTTATGTATTTTGTCCTTAAATAAGGAGACAAAACAGTGTGTTTCTTTGCCTAAAATCTCCTCTGGTCCCTCTCTGATTGATCGGCTTCAGGCCTGGAGCCACATTGTTGAATTAGTGTGATCGGAGTATTTTATTGTGAAAACTGACTGGATTCCCTATGCCCACGCCGTTCGTGTCACCCCAATTCACATCATTCGCTTCTATTTGCGTCTTTTTATTGACTTTTGCACAGATAATTCTATTCGTCATTGGTGGAAACGCACCATAGGAGAAAATGTAAGTAGTAGTTCTCCTAAATTACTTTTTGCATGAGGCCCATTACTTGAGTGAGTCGATGTTACAGGAGCACAATGCTAAATCGGTTGATTACACTTTTAAAAGTTGGTTCCCTCATTCTGAAATGTGATCCTTTTTCAGTTTTATATCTCCGTAAACTGAATCACTTTGGTCTCTGAACTGTTGGTCGAACAAAACAAGCAAACTGATGCTGTGTGATTCACTACTTTTTGATTTGGAGACCAAATTAATTGATCCAGAAAAAGGATTAATCAATATTAATGAAGAAATATTACTCACAGCTCTAATATCATCATTCTAAATTTGAAGATAAAATGAGAATTGACTATTCAGTCCCACACTACTCATCTCTTATTAATGCAGTTTTTACAAGTTTGTGTAAATCTGCCAGCTCGATCTCTGGCTCCAGGACAGGACGAGGAAGCTCATAACTTCAGCGCCGACACTGCTGGCTGTTTCCCTGGAGGAGGTAAAACCACTGCACACATTCTGCAAACTAATGCGTGCCACGTGACGTTGGACAGATGACCCGGCGTGATCAAACACAACCCAGACATACAGCTCACCTGTCTGACTGACTAAATAGGATTTATTCACGGTGGAGAATATATTCCAAGTGTTGCATGTATCTCAGCTCGCTCTCTCTCTCCACCGCACACACAAACTTTATACATCTATCTTCATTTCTAATGAAGCTTGTATTGAAGTGGATGTGACAGAGGAGAATAGTGGAGCAGAATAATTTAAGAGCAGAAGACGGTGAAGACCTTGGGATTCAACGTCAAGTTCCATTAGACGGGAATTTTCACTTAGCTAAAAGGACAGGGTTGCATCTTATATCCTCTTTCTCTACTACGGCTTCTATCAAGAACAGAGGAAAAGTTTCCATTAGAAGCTATCTAAAGGCAAATAGGAGATTAGGTTGTTGTCTATTTGTATGTAGATGTCATTGCACCAAAAGATTGTAAACCCCAAACCTGTTCGCTCTGATATGGAGTCAGCCTCGGTCACTAACTTCCTCCTTTCCTGTACTCAGATAATATATGCTAGGCTAATCTATGTTGAAAAGACAACCCCACTTTAAAGTTAATTAAAAGATAAAAGCGGCCTATATATGTATATAGCTATATATATGTTAGCAAAACACTAGCTAGCTAATTTACACAATACTAGTTAGTGTTTTGCTAGGGAGGGCGGGCATCAGAGAGCTTGATCACCGGTTGGGTTCTTTTAGACGATTTTTGTAATTTTACTTTGCAACGTCCGCGCAGTACACACACTGAACCGAAGAACGAATGAGAGGAAAAACAGCTGCAGAGACATTTAACTGCAGTGAATTAAGGATTTCTACCGTCCAGTTTGACAAATACAGTAACAAGGTGTCAAAGGGCACCAACCAAGACTCTGATTCCTGGAAAGATGAGGACAGGCAGGGATCAGGTTTGACCAAACCAACTCAAAGGGGAGTCCAAAGGTCCAAATATGTGATCATTGATATAGGCTTCTGAAATATAACCAGCTGATTGTGAGGACTGTATGATGATAAGTTTAGCTTTTAAAAGACAGAAAGTGAGGTTGCAAAGCCATAACTTTGCTCCCACTAACTGAATAACAGGGATGTATTTGCTCCACTCGCTCAGTCCCTGAATATGTAGGCTATATATCATTTGTGTGAGATCTTACCTGGAGGCATCGAAGCTGTCGTAGGAGCCCACAGTGTAGTGTCTGAAGAGCTTCCGTCTGTCAGCGCGGTCCGCTCGGGAATCTGCCAATGCAGATACAGAACCAGATCAATAGTCATCCCATTTGTGTAATCAGGAACAGCAGTTTACAAATCAGTCACTGCTGTTAGGAGTGGACAGTAAAGCTGTTACCCCTGGACAAATAGCACTTAAAAACTGCCTCTTCGGGATTCAATCCAACAACATTTTTTGTTGCACAATTAAGTTTATGCATGTAAATACAACACGTATCTCTGAGAGCTTTTTTTTATTGCTATAACATCCCACTACCTTCACCTTCAGCTCCTGACAGAAAAGAATCATATTTCGCAGCCACAGGAGAATTTTGTGAGGTAAACATAAGTGACGGGTGTGTCTTTTGTCCTGGTGACGACAGTCTCAATGTGTCACTGTAAGTGTCCGGCCCTACGGCGACATCAGATCTACTGCGTGTATACACAGCTGTAGCTTTAAAGATTTAGGATCGCGCTCAAACCAAGTCATCTGTATGATTATACAGTAATCCGGTTTATCCGGGAAGAGTGAAGATTTTAAAGCTGCATTAAACGACTATTTGGCCACTTGATTGAAGAAGTTGTAAATAAAATTTGACATATTAAAGCTTCAGTAGGTACTTTTTATAAAAAATATAGTTTTTGTCATATTTGAATGAGAGCCACCAGATTTTCTTTATGCCTTTCCTACAAATAATTGTGAATATTCACTCATTTAGAACATTTGAGACTATATTGACATTTGAATTTGATTCCCCAAGACAGTGGCTGCCCCTTCTCTTTATTTTGTACTGTTTGCTGACTTTAAACACACATGCCAATTAGGATTATGCATTTTGTAGTATTGGCAAATAACATATTCATACTGAATGCAGGTAAATACACTGTGAAAAAAAAGAAAGTAGCTGACTCGTAAAAATACAGTAATTTTCTGTAATTAAAATACAGTTTTTAGCTTTAATTAGAAATATTGACATTCATAAATACAGGCAAACACTGCTATAATACAAATAATGATGCTTAAATTTTAGAAGAGTGCTGTTATTATTGGATTTTTCTTTTTAAAAGTTATAGAACTGTAATAAAAGTCATTGTCAGTGAAAGGACAGCAATTATTGCTGTTTTCAGTGATAAAAACTGTATTTTGATTTAACTTTAAACATTTTTAGAAATGTTTTAAGAGTATTAAACTTGAAATGAACAGTTTAAATAAATGTTAAATAAACAGCAAATATCTGCAAAACATTATAGATTTAATTTTTTTTCTTTAAGTAGGCAACAAATTCTCTCATTATTTAGTTATTGAGGAGAAAAGATTACGCCCTTGGATTTATGTATAAATCTCCAGTAAATTATATAAATATTTTCTTTAGTGGCCCCTATTGAACATGAATGAAGAGTATTTAAAGGAAGAACCAGAGGGTGGCAATATTGGCAAGTTAATGAAAAAAATAAGAGACTTGACCATTTAACCTCCAATGAAAGAAGGTGTTTGCGACATTGTAAATGTGTAAAGTGTGAAAACAGAAGCAAAACACATTCAATTCGAGGACACATTTGAGCAAATGTTGGTATCATTACAGTGAATGAGATCCTTGAGTCGCTCAAAGTCTTCTCCTTTATCCGCCTCGCTGAAAGAGCGCGTGCAGCCACATTATATCTTCATAGATTAAAGGAAGCAGCGTGGAAACAGATCAGATTTTATATTAAAAAAAAGGTGGATTTCAAGCACACACACACACACACACACACACACACACACACACGACCTGCAGAGTGGAGAGCTGGTCTCATCTATTTGTCCTATTCAGCACCCTCTCCTCTCCCCTTTCTCTCCCTCTCCTTCCTTCTTTCACATACTCTCTCACACCAGCTGTCACACTTTCACAGAAACTCCATCTCCTCTGATCCGGCTTAGATCTTGTCATCTTTGCAGGAACATTTTTTTTCCTCCCCTCCTCCTCCTCCTCCTCCTCCTCCTCCTTGATTCTGCGTCCACAGTGTTGGATTGGAGGAGGACGGAGGATGTGGCTGGAAGTAGATCATTGACCGATAGAGATGGAAAAATGGGTTACAGCTTTGTTTTTTTACAGAGAAGAGAAGGTGGGGGGAGGGCGAGAGAGTTAATAATTTGTATGAAAGAAAATGAGAGAGGAATGGAGAGAGAGAGGGAGAGAGAGAGAGGGAGAATAGTATATCCACAACATAGTCACACTCCATAGCAACTGCTGTCTGACTGCGACCAGCTGGTTTCTATGGTCACAGATCAATAGAGATGGTGTGTGTGTGTGTGTGTGTGTGTGTGTGTGTGCATAACTGAATGTGAACATAAAGTATTCATGCTTGTGTGAAAATATGCACATTACACTGCATCTGTATTTGTGTCTTTGTTCTGTCAGCTGTTTGTACTGCACACGATTACGCACATGCGTAATCGTGTGTATGTGTGTGTGTGTGTGTGTGTGTGTGTGTGTGTAGGTGTGTGTGTGTGTGTGTGTGTGTGTGTGTGTATGTGTGGCCTTCCTGGGTTCCTTCCAGGCGTTTATTCTCCCCCCTCCTCACTTCCTTCGCTCACCTTACGAAGCGAGGGAGAGATGCGAGGGTGAGACGGAGGAATTGACGTGCATTGGTCAGTGGGCGTGGCCACTCGCTCTAAAGCTCATGACCTGCAGTGTGAGACGCTGCACATCTGGATTGGCCATCTCTCCAGCTGTGATGTGAAGTTGGGTTTTGTTTTGCTCAGATTATATTATTCGCTGTATTTCTCTGTGATCGCTACAGTCTTTCACCAGTCATAGCCAAGATTATATATATTATTATTACAGTTAACTTCAAACTAAAACTAGATTTGGACTTTTGTGTCTGTTTATTAAGACTGGGATGTCTAAATGTCTTTTGTAATCTCTATTCAGAGCCTCTCCAATCTTTCCCCCGACTACTACTTGCCATATTGTAACAAAAAAAGACTAAAACTAATAATACAAAACATTTTTAAACAATAAAAACTGAACTGAAACTCTGGAAACTAACTGAAACAAAACATAATTGGAAATAAAATCAAATGAAAATTATAAAACTTTGACTTAGACCTGCTGTGTTTACAGTTGATTTTAATAATCAGAGATTATTTGGGGATTATTTGTCTGATTATTTGTCTGATTTCACAGCAGCCTTTCTACAAAGTTCAGATCATAAAAGTAATCTGGTTATAAGAAAATATATCTGTGTATTAATAGGCTCTTATATAGCTAATATTGAGGTGGATTTAACCAGTAACAACAGTGGTTGAAGTGTAAGTATATCTTCTGAAACAAAACAGGTGTGTATTACACACATTAGGGAACTTTTCAAGCAGTCATGTTATTTAAGCACATTTAAAATGCCACTGTTATCTGTATCATCATTTACTGCCCCATCAGATCAGCAGCAATATCCAATTAGTATAATAATTACCCGCCCTGAGCCCAGCTGATGCTTTTTGATGCTGAGTAAATACAACCAGCATGGTTTTGATATAACAAACCACTGCTCACCTACAATACAACAGTCTGTTTAAGTTCATGAAAACGTACTGTGAGTAGACTCTGTAGCTCGCGCTGTACATTACTGTAACAATGAGATGCTTCAGGCTGACGGGTTAAACACTAATTAAAGAACAGATACATACATTTGTTACTGTGATCTCTTCTGTCCCCAGTGAAGCATCATTTATCTTAATTCACAGTCTAAACATGTACACTGTAAGTAACCTCCACCAACTAACACTGTTTACATGTTACTGTGTCCCCTGTACACACACACACACACACACACACACACACACACACACTCGGACTCTTCTTCTATCATTGACTGAACTGATGACCCCTCACTCAACTTATTTTATGGATATTTCAGATTATATTCAATGTATAACAATAATAATACAGAGCAACTGATAAACTGTAATAGTGAACACAATAACTGCAGGAAGTTTGTGTAAAATTAGTGATTTGGGTGAATTGTGAGCAGATTATTTCTGTGAATATTGATCAGAGATTATGAAATAATTAAACAATTCACTGTTTGTTTGTTTTTTAACAATCATACATATTTAATTCACTGACACATTCAGTGTTTTCTTCTCCCTGATGTTTGCTCTATTAGCTCTTTGGTTGTTATATTAATATATATATAATATATATAACTGTTTTTAATGGCCTACTGTGTATATCTTTAAAGCTGTCCTACATGCTTTAAAATCAGTGTAGTGTCTCCTACATGCCTCACAGCCCGTTCTCATTCCCAGGTCTTCAAACACAGACGCGAGCAGTGTTCAGTTAGTTGCAATCTGCTAGATGTCATAATGTATAATTGAACAGTTAACTGAAAAATATCTGTCTATCTGTCTAAATAATTAACAAACAATTAAGAATGAACTTGTTTCCAAGGATGGTGGGGTGTGTGGCCCCTGTGTGCAAACGTCCTGGTGTCAATACAGGACAGTATGTGAGCATCCGTCAGCAGTGTCGGATGGAAACCTCAGTGGTGTTTTGATGACGTATGATGGATTTCATTGTGTTGATATACGGGGGAAACTGATTGATCTTTATAATATCATGAAGGGTATGAATACTCCCACTGTTGCAGTCAGGCTGTGAGCTCAGTGAGGTTGAGGGTTACACACAGAAAAACATTCATCTGAATCTGCAGCGCTTGCTTTCTGGGTCTCAGAGCGCGCCCCCCCCCAATACAACTACACCTGCTTAACCACTGAGCTCTGTGTATGTGTGTGTGTGTGTGTGTGTGTGTGAGAGAGAGAGAGTTTCCTTGTGTGTTTCCCATACATAGCTCCTCAAGTGATCTCAAGGGTCCAAACCTGAACCCTAACAAAGCATGTCTAAGCAGGGTTTAATCCCACTGCATTGCATCTATTGAATTAGAGGGATTAGAAGCTAAAGGTGTTTAAGTCAAATCAGCATGTGTGAGTGTGTGTGAGTGTGTGTGGGAGTTGATGGGATGAAAAGGTACGATGAGAAACCCTGATCGTTTGCAAGATTCACATGTGAGAGGGGGAAAAGACACGGCTTAACCTTGCATGTAAATGTCAATTCTTTTAGACTGTGAAGGTTTTTCTGTTCCTTATTTATTGCACTCTAAAAACGATCAGATACCAACTGTTAATACACAGTATAATTAGAAATAGACAGTATAGGATCAAAACACTCATGATTACAGCTTTAAACTCAACACTGTAAACTTTAATGTCCATACAGACACACTACAGTTTCCTTCAGTTTTTGTTATTTGATGAGGACTGGGAACAATGCTTTTTGGATTGAAACAATGATTTCCATACTATACTACTGTGGCCTGTCCATTGACAGTATATACAGTATAATGGACACAGCTTCTGGCTCGGTGAAGTGAAAGCAATGCAGAAGTGTCTTAAACCTGCATTCTATGTAAAGGCCAGCAGGGGGCGGCTCCATGGGTTGCAAAAAAGACAGACAGTATGGAGTCTTATGGAGAAATTAGTCGACTTCTCAGTTGATTTATGAGCTCAGTAAACAGTTTCCTGATGAGTTTCTGGTCTCAGTCTCTAGTTTCAGTCTTCTTCCATACAGCATGATGTTCATTTAGTAACTGATGGTCCCACTTAGAGTAACATACACCATAAAGCAGGGCTTGAGGTTTTAAAATGGTTCAAGGGCCTGTCACAAAATGTGAAAACAACTTCTAAGTTGACTAAAAAGGGTGACTGACTTGATTCAGTGACTGAGCGGGATCATATGCATGCTTTGGCTTTCTTTTTTGGGTTCTCTGTGAAACTTTTTTCCGTCTTCCAGGCTACAAGTAGTGAGTGTAAAAATGATCGTATGAGCAAGAGAGAGATAGAAAGAAGGAATATTTTCTTATCAATGGTTAAAGGAATAGTTCAGCTTTCTCTGGCTATACGCTCATTCTTTCTCTGTCTGAGACTTATCACCTTCACGTCTTCACTTAATGTCCGTACGGAGATGAAGGAAGAGGGAGATTAGCTTAGCTTAGCACAAAGACTGGAGGCAGTTGGAAACAGCTAGCCTGGCTCTCCTCAAAGTTCAGTACGCCTACTGGAACCTCTTTTGTTTTCATGAATGCAGAGACAATTTGTGCTTTCAGAGGCAGTTATGTGCTGGAAGCATTTCTTGATGAACAGCACTATATCTGCTGGTCCAGTGCCTCTGTGTAGCATCTCTGTTGGTTGCCTGGCAACCTCATGGCGATGACAAGCCTCCTGCCTGTTTGTCACCAAGTAATAATTACAGCACATAACCCCCATAAAAATGACAGAATGGTGTTTTTGTATGGATTAAAGTAACAGTCTCAAGGTAACACAATGGGCATTGAGCCTGTGGTCCACTGATTACAGTACCGCAGTATTTATACATATGTAGTATTATGACTCTATGATGGTTGGTGTACTACAGCAGTTCCCAACCTTTTTCCTTAAGGGACCCATGATTCATGACGACCCCTGAATAAGTGACATGTATTAACAATAACAGTAGAGAACAGCTGATAAACTGAACGTTGAACCCAAACAGTGAACACAATAACTGCAGGAAGTTTGTGTAAAACGTTTGTCACCTCCTGATTTAAGCATACTTCCAAAAATGTCAAACTATTCCTTTAAAGATGAATATATTCAATGCCTGGCCAGAAAAACTCTCTCTCTACAGATGGTAATCATTTGGGCCAAAAACTGCATTTCTCAGTTGTCCGTTATTTCCCCAATCAGCCACAACTGTTAGGCTTCATGCAGGCCATTCACCGGCCATCTAATTGCAGCACACGCACATGCACAGCCCCTGGCCTTGGCCGAGGACGCCTTTGAATGGGTCTTTGCAAGCCACCATACTGTGCTCCCATTTTCTGACTGGCTTTCTTTGGAGGCAGACCTGAGGGCAATTTGGATGTGGCACAGTGTGAGAGGAGCTCCCCGTGCCAATGGCCTTGGGTTAGGCTTTAAAATAAGCCACCCAGAAGAAGGCAAACAGCCAGAGAGAGAAGAAGAACAAGTTGCTCCCCATCTGCCTCTATCATCGCTGACATACTCCTAAGAGCAGGGAAGACTAAGAGAGCGGGTGGGTGTGGGGAGTTGACTCCAGCAACGCTGTGCTTTGTGATAATGTCAATAATTAAACACTGTCAGCGAACAGAATACCAGAGGATGAAAAGATCGCGGAACAAGGAAGAGAGCAGGACAGACAGAATTAAGACAGGCCTTTTTTAAAAACCCGCTCCCTCTCGTAGACACACTGACAGCACTCATGTTGGGCACAGCGAGAGAGACTGCGAGCAGAAATGTGCTGTTTATGGGGGACGGAGCATGGCGTGATATGTTCATTAGCTTGCACCCAGAGGACATCAGAGCACAGCTGAGTTAGCAGGGCAATGTAGCGCTTAGCTTTGTGCACCACAGCCTGGGGAGACGGGAAGAGACTGGGAGACAGAGGAGCAGAGACACATGCAGATCATGGACTGGAGAGAAAGCAGCCACGTGCCATCACGCTGCCTCAGGAACCGACAGCATTTAGCCATAGCTTCTGCTCTTTGTGTCCCCTCTCTCTCTCTCTCTCTCTCCACAAAAGTGGGTGATGGCAAACAGCGCGTGTCCTACATAAGTCAACGTCCCACCTCCAACCGCCACACAACCCCAAGTGATAAGACTTACAGCTCCTCTCGTCGGCGGCCTTGGCTGGGATCTCCTCCACGCAGTCGGCTGGAAACCAGCCCACCTGGCCGTGGGCGCTGCCCTCCCAGAAACCCCCCTCTCCGATGCTCAGGACTGGACCGGGGGGATGGAGAGCAGAGAGGAGAGAAAGTGACAAGAAGATAGTGAAAAATGACATCGGTGAAAGAACAGCACAGAGATCATTTAAAACACTTCATTTGATGCCACATTTGACTAGAAAGTAAAACATTAAGGGAAATGTTTGTGTTCATACAAAACCTCATCAAACCTGAGGCCCACAGTGCCCAGAATACTAGGCTGTTAGGATATTATAAAGGCTGTTAGAAACAGGACTAGCTATTTAAACCACTGCTATATAAGAATATGGTTTTATTCGTTGGATGCAGCTGAAACAAAATAAAACATTTGTCAGAGGTTGCGATTAAATGTCATCCATTAACAGTGTGAACTGCAGGAGGTCGCAGCTGAAGCCTGCAAACGTCGACAAGCTCACAGTCTCAGAAAATGTTCTTCTGGTTCGGTTTGTTTGGTTTGAAGCAAACTACGATGATTGGAAAATGTTTTTTTATAAGAGCATCCCTTCAGTTCAGTTTGATGTGGACAAAGATCTGCTTAATCTTAACAGAGACTCTGTTCCCGTTCCCCAAAACACAAATATTTGTGCATCTAACTGTGAATTCAGAGTTTATTTCAGCCAAACCAGAGTTGGTGATTGTTGGAAAGACGAACAAGGATAAGACAAAGACTTTGCATTTACCGCGGGTCGAATTAGAGGGGCTGCTTGCCCCCCAAAGGGGGCGGCGGCTTGAAGCAAAGAAGAGGTACCCGGAGGCCGGCCTGCATACAGTAGCAATGTGTTATGTTGTACAGTATGTGACAGCAAGCTCAGTGGTTAAAAATAACTGAACTCTGTTAAAAATAAATATGGCTCAGTAATTATCTTTAAATCATTCCTGTTGAGCATTAAAAATAAACTTCTGGCAAAAGACGAGGTCATAATATCGTATTTACATACAGTAATAACATAGATGTTCCGGGAAGAAGCATGTCCTCCTTGATTTCTCAGTAAATAATGTTCCCATTCATCAAAGCCTCAGAGCTGCAGTGTGTGTGAAGCTCTCCACGTCTGCGGATGAGGAGGATGTTATTCCTCGGCATCTGTATTTAGGCCCTGTAGAGCCGAGGGAGTCATTTTCATCAGATATGGTAATTTGCTGTTTGATTTCCAGTTGTCTCATTTTCAGACACAATTATGACATGAAGGCAGCAGTGAATCAGGGGCTTTTATTTGCTTTTTGATTTTTGGTATTCATCCTTCGTCCTCCAAAGGGACAAAATCTGTTTCTCTCTCTCTCTCTTGGGGTCAGTGGATGTAACTAAGTACACTTACTCAGCTAGTTTTATGGCACTTTATACTCCACAACATTTTGGATGCAGATATTAAACTCTTTAGAGCACTACATTTCAAATCAAAAAAATAAAATATGATGTGATATCACAGGTTAAGCTGTCCAGAGCTGCAGTACATAGAAAATATATAAAGTCTTTAAAATGATCCAAGACCAAATTCTATCAATAATCATAATCCAATAATCAGTTATATGTATATTGTTTTGAAATTGGTCATAATGAGTATTTTTTACTTGCAACAGAGTATGTCTTTCTCCACAACTGTTTGTGGCAGTTATTAAAGTTTTAATAGTTTAATAGTTTTTATTTTTAATTTATTTTTCAATGTTTTCAGTTCAGTTTAGTTTCAGTTTAAAGTTTAAATTTGACCACTAAAACATTTTCTGTATATTTTTTATTTTATTTTATTTTATATTTTAAGTACACACTATTGTGTAGTTTATATAGAGTTTGCATAGTTTTATTCTGTAGTTTTTTTGTATTTCAGTTAACTAAAATGTTTTTTATTTATTTGTAGGCTAACCATACAGTTACAACACTGGCCATAGTGGAGATGGAGGCTGAGACTGTGGACCCCCTCAGGTATGAAACAATAACTAGCTAAGGCTATCCCCGTCTCACCTTTGACCCTGTCGCTCTTGTAGAGGTTGATCTCCCCCTCGGCCTGAGCGGTGTAAGGACGAACCACCACAAAATGCCTCCCAGGAACGGCGCTGTACAGCTTCCTCCTGGTGCCTACTGCCTCGCCGTGGCTGCTGGGACTGACAGAGAGACAAAGAACACCACGGGTCAGGACTGAAGGTTAGAGCACAGTTAGAGTTAGTGGGTAAAATAACAGAAACACCTCATTTAATGCTCCTGCAGGAAATGTGGTGAAGCTCATGAAGTCGTAGTTTGAGAGTTTTCCTGTCACCCCGACTGCATTAAACACTGCGAATCTATTTAAAGTGGCAATACAAATATTTAATGCAGAAATGTGTATATTAAATTATGCAATATCGCAGCGAAGAATCAGTGTGGCACGGTGGAAAATAGTGTTTTAGATGAAATTAAAGCTACGAGAGGAGAAATCAGAGAAACACTGAAGGTTGAAAGGTTGACAACATTTCACACTACCTGCTCAAAGGGAAAAACAAAAACCTCTGACAGTGTAAGAAAGGAACATTACGAGCTTCCCCAAATTAGCATTAACAACAAGGGCTGTCATGTTGGCCCACACACACACACACACACACACACACACACACACACACACACACACACACACACAGTATTCATGCATATGGATACAAACACAAGCACACACGCACAAACCAATTATGCAGAGGAGATATTCAGGGGCCAGCAGGCACGTGTTTTGCAGGAATAAGTGGGGCAGAATGTGGGCAGGCTATGACCCATAGAGCTGCAGTGGCTTCTGGGTAGGAGACCACACAGGGAGCCAGCCGGGACTTAAGTGAAAAAGAAAAATGCCAGATTTTGATGGCAAAAGATCCACAAGGTCCTCCAGAGACACTTTAACTCTATTTATATGTTGTATGTAAAAACTCCCTCGTCCCTCCGTGGAGCCGAGACGTGGCCACGGAGAGGACAGCAGTGGTGCTGGGTGATGTACCTGACATGATAATGTAGCGCCACTTGGTGGCCAACTTCCATAACAACACTTCCCATAACAGATGGAGTGATATCTTGGGAAAACAAATGCCATCAAGGACAAGCAGTTTTTACTCAGTTCACAGTGAGTACGTCAGGACAAAGGTGTGCTAATATCTAAAATCATAAAGATTTAAAAAAGAATCAGTAGCAGTTTATATTTATGTTTGATTAAAAACTGCTGTTGACATTTTATTGCACATAGTTAAATGTGCCTGATACTCATACTCAGAAATATCAGACTAAATGGCTGCACTTGGTGGTCAGTTCTTCTTGTCAAATATATGATAAATTCACAAAGGACAGCTTTTGCTTAAATTAAAACACTAAAAACTTTTCCTCCATGTACTTTTGGCATCTTGCTGGCGCACACAATCTGAGTGATGCAGCGAGAGGAAGAGTGAGAGATAAAACCACAGCGATGGAAAAACCAGGAGATTAAAGAGAAAGGGAGGAAAAGGAGTGCAGGAGCGAGGGATTGAGAGAGAGGAAGGAAATGTTTTTTTCAAGTAAGTGGGTCACCTTGTCCTGTAGACTGCGCTCCTCCTCAAACCTTCATGGGCCTTTGGAGAGCTAACCCCATTCCCTACCTAGTGAGACTGCATGCACGTTTACAGAGGGAACGCCACGGACAGACCTGCAGCTGTGCACTCTGTAGTATTTAAAACGCTCTGGTGACGCGGCTGTTTGATGGCTGACATCTTGTGTGATTCCAGTCGACCTTTTTACTTCATGAATGAGTGAATGAATGTATCACAGTTTGACATTTGTCATTATTTTAAGCACAATTTGAATCTTTTTTCCCCCGCTGGTCTCATGTCTGCAGCTTTTAATGCTGTTTTCATTTATTTCATCTTGTAAAGTATGAAGATATTTAAGAGTTTGAATGTTTCAGTGTTCACAGTGTTAATGTAAAACTATACAATGGCTTTCAGGGGAGCTCAGTATTTTACTGACTGTGACTGACAGTATGCTGACTACAAATCAGAGAAATGAATAAGTGGGAGTGGGACAAAGAAAGATCTTAAAGTGAGTGAAACTGTTGGCAAAGACAGCATGATAATGAAGATACACAAAATCTGAAATATGTGGCAAAAGTGGCAAAAGTCAATATTTAAGAGACACCCCAATATTTCACATTCCATGTTTTCTGGGGAGCTTTTGTCTTATTAAGAGTGTATGTTCACAAAAAAGTTGATGAAATTAATTACATCAACAATTTTAAGTAAAACTATCTACAATTAGAAGCTGTAGTAATTTTAGCAGTTAGTGAGTTCACTATTTTGGTTTATTGTACTGTGATAAATATAATATGAAACATCCATAAAATATATGTAAATTAATTTAGCTGTCAGTTTTACTAAATGATAGAAAAGGGTCCCTTAAGGAAAACCACTGCTCCACACTATGTGATCATGGTCATGAGTTCCAAATGAATGAATGAATGAATGATTTGGACCACATGTGAAAGTGGCCCAAATCAGAATGGAAAAGATCAGCTTCCATGTGATTTGGTCCACTTCGGCCTGCAGTCCAAACCCTGTTTCACAGAGCAGCAGAGTTACTATAGTGACCAAACCAGTGGCCGAAAACGAAATGTTCAACAACTACACAAACACATCTGTACACACATCATATGATGACTAAACATCCCTTTTATCCCTCACCCTGTAGAGAGGTTCATCTGTGTGTGTGCAGAGTTTGACACTACAAAGTTTCTCTGAGAAACCAAACAAAAAATGAAGACTTTTTAAGGATTTGAATGTGAAATTATCCTTTTTATGTGAAAACATTTTTGTTAATAACTGTAAAATCATTGTGTTCCTTCATCCTTCCTTAACAACAAACTCGACTTTTTCACTTTTTTTTATCTGCGACCTTTCTTTCTACTTTTCCACTAATGTAGTGATTCTTTTAGCAAGTGATAAGATTTAATTGGTACCACTACTATTATTGATTCTGCTTATTGGTCTGATTCTTTGTGGATTCCCGTATTGATTCATGATCACCTTCCAGCAATTTACCGTGTCAACACGTCTCTCTGAACGTTGTCAGTTATAAACTTCTAGTAATAGACCAGGTGTCTGTTTAATCCCTGAACTCACCATTTAATGGAGACAGGCGTCTATTTGGACCAGGTGTTCAATTCCTTGAGCCCAGTTTTATTCAGCAAATTTGATTGATGATTGAATTGTGGCACATCACAATTTAGGACCGGTTCTCGATCCCCATCCCTACTCTCTACTCTGCTGTTTCCACACAGGCACATTATCAAACTGCATCACACCTTACAGCACCTTTATCGAGCGGTGCCCCGTCTCTGTTAGAAGACGTGCTTTTATTGTGAAAATGTAAAATTCTCACACCCATGCTCCCATACACAGAAACACGCCATCATCCATCGCTGCTGTGGGACTGTTCTAAATCTGTACTTGTTGGTATAATGATGTGGGAGAAACACTCAGCCACTTCACATTCAGATGAATCCGGCCTACAGGATCAGCAGGTACCGGCTGAGAGACAGAAACCAGCAGCCATGTTTTCCCTCATGCTTTTTTTTTCCCTTTTTCTTTTTTGGCAATTACCCAGGTGGCTTTGAGGTGCTAATTAGACAGTGTTGATTAATACCAGCTGTGCATAATTTGTGCTATTATTGGATGATCACCCGAGACAAGGAAGGAGAGAGGGAGAGAGAGAGAGAGAGAGACACACAGAGAGAGAGGGAGAGCGAGGGTGGAGGAAGAGAGAGAGAGACAGAGAGAGAGAGAGAGAGAGAGAGAGAACAGGAACATTACAGTGCAGACACAAATACAGCACAATCAACATTTACAGTTTTCCATGTGCCTGAAGCCACTGATCGCCGTACGTGCACACAGACGTGAGAGAGAGAGGGAGCGACTGTGACCCCATTTACACCTGCTATTAATGTGCAATCTGTGTCTGATGTCAGATCCCGGCTCAGGAAAAACACGTTAATGCAGGTGTAAATGCACCACATCTGGAGGAGGTCTGGCTCACACCGGGACCGGATCTCAGCCGGGTACAAAGACAGATAAAGACACAGTGTTTATGAGTATCAAAGTGAAACTGCAGTGGAAGCAATCTAAAAGGTTTGGCACATTTTAACCTCCGCCTGGGTTTTTGGTCCCGTTTGTTTGTTTGTTTGTTGGTCAGAAGGATTATGGGATTTATTGTTATTATTAAATTCTTCCTCAACGGTTTATCATACAAATCAGATTTTTTATTTTATTTTTATGACTCAGTCCATTTGTATTCATCATAAAGGGAACTATATCTAAATATGTGGTAGCCAGTGCCATCTTCTTTGCTGTTGTGTGCTGGGGCAGCAGGCTGAGGGCAGCAGACGCCAAGAAGATCAGCAGGATCACCAGGAAGGCTGGCTCTGTCCTGGGGGTCCAACTCTTTGGTGTTGGTGTCTGAGAGGAGGATGCTGTGTAAACTGCACAGTATCCTGGACAACAACGCTCACCCTCTCCACCAGGTGCTAACCTCGAGCAGAAGCACCTTCAGCAACAGACTCATTCCCCCCCGATGTAACACTGAACGCCAGAGGAAGTCTTTTCTTCCTGTGGCCATCAGACTGTTTAACTCATCTACCTCTGGTCGCGAGAGGGACAGTGGAGACACTGTGCCCTGAGCAAATGTCACTTTATCATTTTTTACCCAATTTTCACTAAATCACTTTATTTAGTTGTACTGTACCTTAGTTAATAATTAATTACTGTTACCACTGTTACCACTTTATCCAATCGCTCCTTATCACTTATTTAGTTTGTATTTATTTTATTTCAATTTATGCTGCAAAACTGCACAGTGCGTATTGTTGTATATTGTATATACTGTACCTACGTTTAACTGCAATTTTTGTTGCATTTTGTCACATTGAGTTACTTGTTTTCTTCTTTTCTACTTATGTTACCTGTAAGTGCTTACATTTTGTTATATTTAGTTAATTGTTTGATTTATTTTATGTTAGCCTTTATTTTATTATTTATTTTATTTTATTTTATTTTATGTCAGCTTATTTTTACTCTAACCCTGTATTACTTTACTTTACCACCTTTTTATTGAAACTGTTGCACAGTAA